GCCGCCCCGCCCCTTTGCGCGAGACCGCCGTCCAAATGCCAGCGTCGACGACAGTTCGAGTCGCTGAGCGCCGCGCCGAGCGTCCGAGACCAACATTACTTCGGCTCCTCCGCCAGGGCCCACATGTAATATACGCCTTCAGGAAAGGTCAGCGTTTCTGCGACGCGCGGGGCAATGACGACAGTGGCTTACCGAGGCTGCGATATGGCTGCCAGCATTCCGCGAGGTCTTCCATCTCCTTCGGGGTCAGCAGCGCACCCCTGCGACACACGGTCAGACCCCAGCGGTGCATACGCCATACCAAATTTACACTCACTTGACCTTCTTCCCGCTCAGCCTGTTCTTCATCACTGCGACAGTCAGGCCCTCCGGCAAGGGCGGGGGCGTGTATTTCCCGCCGTCCTCGGTGGTCGTCGTCTTCATGTTTAGCGTCTGGGCGATCGACGGCGTGAACGGCGCAGGGAGCGGGTTTTCCGAGACACCGTCGTCCGCTGCCTTCTTCTTCCCCTTCCCCTTTGGGGCCGGGGTAGACTCAGCGGAGACATCGGGCGCCGGTAGTATGGAAGAGGCGTCGGGCGTAGCGGCCCTCGGCATCGTCGTCGCACCCTCGCCCTCGGCGCCCATGGGCGGGCCCAAGGACGTCCCCGCGACAGCTGAGGTCTCATCCTCCTTTGACAGCTTGTCCTTCCGAAGAGATACCGGGTGTGTTGACGGCGAGTGCAGGGAAACGAACCAGCGCAACATGCCCTTTTGCACGCCCAGGTCCCCTGAATCGATATAGACGAGCGTCAAAATGCGAAACTTCATCATACAGCGAGAAGACTTGCCGACAGGAAGGATATCCGGCCGCCGCAGCGAGAACATCGCGAACATGTCGACTGTGGCACGGGTGAGCGACATCCCCGATGAGTGTCGGTTCAGACTTACCGGTCCACTGCGACATGAAGGGACACTTCGTAAGAGACCGGTGATCACTTCGTGGATAGTACGACACTCACTCTCCCGATGCCGCGTACTTCTATCAACATCTTGTACAGCTCCTCGTCATCGGCCAGAAGCAACTTCCTTGTCGACAAGCGGCCGTCCGCAAACCGCCCAGCAAGATCCAGGACTGCCAGATGTGTTCATGGTCGGTCCTCGCCACTTTGTTCTGAGCAAATCCACTGACCATACTCCGCTTTCCGGCCACTAAGACCAGCGCTGCGCAAAGTCGCGATATCCTTGGTGATAACTTGATGTGCGGATGGGAAGAAGTTTGACCTTCCGGGACATGCTATGATCAGCGAGCGTGGCTAGGAAGTTCGAATAAGGACTTACTTCGAGTCCGCGAGACTTTCGGGAAGGGATGGGTCGAATAGGCGCACAAATTTGTGCGTTATGGATGCCGCAGCTTTCCATGATATCTGCTGTCCCCTGTTGTGTTTGACGTCGGTAAGCAGCGTATCCGCAAACCCGGAAGCAGTCTCGTCACCAGACGACGTAAGAGTTTGCTCCATCTGAGGCGTCGGGCTGTGCAGAATAAGAGAAAAGGAGGGGACCCCTCTCCAGAATTTCTGCCCTGCTCCGTTTTGGAAGGATCTTCCATATAGCGGCTGGTGACGAGACTGGTGCGGACTCCGGACAGCCAAAAACTCCCTGGGAACTTACAAGATGGAGTGTGCAAGCGTGCTATCGTATCGCACATTGCTCAGCGTAGATCTATGTCAGGAAGACACGTGCATACCGGAAGGGATCGACGCGTTCGAGATGCTCAAACGGTCTGCACTTGACTCTTCGAAACACATCTTCGAAGCGCGGATCCACGCGAACGAGGTGCCGCCTTGCCTCTTCAAAGGAGAAGGTGAGCACGGCTGGAACGAGCTCCTCGCCCTCCGCGTTGGGAATTGGGGTGGGCACGGCGGTATTGGGCGCTGCCGGTGACGTCTTTTCGCTTGAGGCAGTGGGTGCCGCAGCCTTGGCCGTCTTCGTCTTTGTAGCACGGGGCTTCTTCTGGGCGGGCTCTGCTGCTGTGTCGGCGCTCTTCCTCTTCCTGCTTGTGGCAGCCGCCTTCGTTTGGGCTGCGGTGGTGGTCTGTTGCGCAGCCTCCGGCATAGCACCGGTGCTTCGCGTTGCTGACCTTGTCAAAGCCATACTAAAGGTCCTGGATGTTGCTGGGCGCGTCAAATGTCGAGCGACGACGTGTGTAAGCGCAAACTGCATGCACCGACCGTCGACAACGACGGTGGTTTATCGACAACGACCAGGATGACTGTGCGGGGACGGAGCCGTTCCCGATTCGGAGAGCGTGGGAGGCGGGATGCGGGGGGGCGCGGGTGGCGCGTAATTACGCGTTGCGCGCCTCGTCACGTGCCATGCGCGAACGTGCCACGGTTGTGCCTGGCCCGTCCAAAGGGGCCTCTCAAGGACTCCCCGCGCCCGCAGCTCCCCTCCCACCTCGGCAGCCGATCGCATGACGTCAGAACAGGAATCGTTCGTGCTTTCCTCCCTCCTCGACTTTAGCGGCTTGCCAGCTTCCTCCGCCGTCTTCATCCCACTCTCCGCGACAGCTCAGACCATGGCTCACCCTAACCAGCACTCGCAGCTCGGCGAAAGCGGCCTCTTTTGGCGCTCATCCACACCGCTCGCGCATGCTTTTCGCGTCTCTCTCTGTCCTCGGCCGCACTGGCTTCAATGAACGACCCGCGCTCCGTTCTCGTTTTCCGCCCTCTGGCGTCTTCATATCGGCCCTCCCGCAGTGCTCGCTCTCGCTGTCCCTCCCTTCTCGACCCTCTCCCCGCCGTTTCCCGTCCTCCTACACGCCTGGCATACCCCCGAAGTGCATAAATCGACGGCGCCGACGTCCCCGTACAAGTAGACACCCTAAAACCCGCCGAAAATGCGCATATACGTCGGAAAGTGTGCATTTCCTCCATTCTGCCAGTCTACTCTACTCACTTCGTCTGCGGTCTACAGACAGTCTCCCGATTTTCGACGAAATACAGTCGTCCCGCGTGCGCCCCCTCGCGGGACCTTGTCAGCGCGGACGGGGAACCCTCTACGCACACATGGGTACCCTTTGCGTGTCTGGCAATCGCCTCGCGCGCTCTGTACGAGCAGAACAAGATGCGCATTTTGCAAGAAACGCGTATCGTACTCGAACGGTACGTTCCACACACCCCACGTCGCGTTCTCTATGCTCACAAGGTCTCAGTTCATCACGTCCGTCAGTTTGCGCGGCCCTGCGTGCGGAATTGCGAAATCTCGTTGCGGACCCCACCTCCAAATTCTTGCATGCCTCGTTCAATTCTCAATAGAACCTTTTCGTATCGCTGATCCTGTCATTCCATAGGTACCCCTCATGGTCGCTCGCGTTTCTAAGCCCCCGGGACACCGTGGCGGACGCCGTCGACGACGCTTGCCCAGCGAGGCGTTAGGCGCCCACGCGGCGCCTCGAGCTCGAATGTCAAAGGTCATGGAAACGTCGAGTTACGGTATGCACACATACCTCACGCTCAACGTGTCCCTGTGCGCTTGGAATCGGCTCGAATGGTGACATTCCGCAGCCTCGACGCGTCGATTGCTTTCGGGGATGGCTTCACTACCTTTTCCTTCGCCCTCTCCGCTATCTTTCACGAAACCCGCTAATATTATTCGCACAGCTTCTATTCTATGCAGCTCAACATATAGTTTTGTATTCGAATACGCCGTCCCCGCGTGGAAGACGTTACGCTCGATACGAACTGCGCTCGCGCGCCGCCAGAATAGGCGCCCAAATCATAGACGTCTCGGTCGCAGGTGCGGCTCGTTGCTCACATTTCGACTTCCTCTAACGCGAATGTTAGCGGCACCCACGGGTACATTCAGTGCAGTACACGGGATCTTCCACGTCTGACGCCGCGACGTTCGTCCAAACGGCCTCGAGCGGCTGCGCCGCGTGCGCGCCATACAGAATGGGCCTCTCGCCCACGCGAGATGCACTGCGCGTGGAGGCCTGGAAATCGTCTGTAAGTGTATATTCGGATCTGTATATACTCTGACTCGCGCACGAGCGAGGAATCGAGCACGAGTACGGGCGCTGTCGTGTGCATGCGCGGCCGCCTCGGCCTGGGCATGCGCACTCGGCGCCCGTCTGCACACTCCATGCCCGCAGTCTGCGCCTCTCCTTTCTCGTTCCGGAACGGGCGCTCACGGCTGCTGACACTACGCGCTCACAGTATCTCCGAGAAGCGAGCTCAGCGTCCCCAGCCTCGTCGTCGCCGCGCCGCCCGTGTCTTCGACAATGGCTCTGAACACTGGGCCCCCGCCCTGCAGACCGGCGAACGCGCCCCGTCCGCGCGCGGAGCGCTCTCTCAGGACGTCCACCACACCCTCACAACACGGCGACTTGAGCAAGCGGCGTCCGTCGCTCACGTGCAGGCTCGAGAGTTCGACGTACGAGGCAGGTGCGCGCGCGCGGTCGTGACATGGAGACTCGACGAGCCACGACACGAGATGCACGGACGTCCGAGCACGCGCACGCGATGTGTGAAGGGAAGGGACGACGTCGCGCTCGGGCGCACCGGTGTGCGCGTGGTGCACTTACGGCACGGCACGTCTCCGCACCTCGGCTCCCGCAACCTTCGCCGCCCTTCAGGCAGTCCAGGTGCCGTTCCGGGGCTGCACACCTACGCCCGCAGCTCGCAGCCGCGCAGACAGTGACGAGCCTCCACGCCGCCGCACGAGCCCATGCCCCGCGATGAGTGCAAGACAACGGACCGCGCGGCGGCGATGCGACTCGACGTTGTCCGCGACAGCTGCAAGCGCGGGCGCCAGCCCCGGGAACGTTTGCGCCGCACCCACAACCACCCACCTGGCGCCCCGTCTTGTGCAATTCGGCCCCGACGAGGACGTGCGAAGACGGTGTTCCTGGGCGGCTGGAGGCTCGCGGCGTTCTCCGGAACGTGCGCAGCCAGAAGAAGGGCGGACGCGAACGCGTCCCTGAGAGGTGCAACGGGGCAGGGCGCGCGTTGGGGCTCCCCACGTGTCTCTGGCGGGAGGGCTCTCACCTGGGGCGGGAACGTGCTCGACGGCGTCGGCTGCGTCCCAGCCCAGCCCTCCACGTCTCCCGCACGTCGTCCCCTCCGCTGGGTTATCTGGTACATGCACAGCTACGTAACTCCGCCCTCGCCCTTCCCGCCTCACAAAGTACGCCGCGCATCTGGCCGCGCGGGGAGTGCTGCAAACGATGTAGGTCAGGCGATGATGTTTGCGGCGAGGAAATCGAAGGTGCGTACCGTTTTACGCGTGATGCGCCGCGTGCGAACTCCTTCCTACAGCTCGTGTCTTCTGGGACTGCGAACGGTGAGAACGAGGCTGCGCTCGGGCGAGGACTCACAGCAAGTATCCGGGCGCGTTGGCGCATCGAGGGCTGGTTCCGCGGCAGGCTCGATCGACGCGAACCTACTGGAACACATTAGTAGAGTGTCATGCGCGAAGAGGACTCACCACACGTAGTATTCCGCCTCGTTTGCGCGTCGAGGATACTAGGGCACGGCGGGCTAGACAGAATCAAGTTAGCAGTGTCTGCAGCGCGAACGGAAGGTGCGAGGTACGTATGTGTTCACGATGTGCGCCCGCCGAGATGCTTGAAATCTGATACGCTGTGAGCAAGATTGGGCAGCGATGCTGCGCGCACTCACCAGGCATGCAGGCGAGTCGTCGAGCATGCGTCGCTCCAGCGCACCTTGATGTGTGCACAGAGCTGAATGCGATTGTGAACGCAGGCAGAAGTAGGACTCGGAACGGCGGACGTACCACGAGTGTGACGAAACGAGCCCTGCGTGCATGGGTCGGAGCTGCGAGACGACGTGCACCGCGTCCACAGCCTACGTCTATGAGAAATGTGAGTGGAAAGGATGGGGAACGGTGGGCGACGTACCTGGCGGCAGCGATGTGAAGCTGGAAGGAGGTGAGTGGCACGCACGAATCCTCGACGTACAATACTTATTGGTCCATACCCTCCGATGTCCATCGCTAGCGAGCAACAGAGCGGACGTGCGCCGGCGATGCCCGCGCGCACCTTCCGGCATACGAGCACGGAAACGAATACACGGCCGCTACGCGGGCGTCCGATGTGGGCACGCACACTCCGGGACCCAATCAACGAACGTCCGGGACACACGCCCGTCGCTCGGGATTGAGTCTAAGTGATGGGGAACTCGGAGGGCCTCGTCCTGCACCAACCAACGCACGATGCGCGTCGACGGAGGTCTAGACGAGGGTCGGCCATACGTACGCTCTGGGCGGCTTGACATGCGGAACGCATGCCGCGTTCGCGATCTCCTCCCATTCGGCTCGGTCA